AAACAGTTAAGAAGAATTAGAAACTTTCCCTCCAGCAGCCCTCAGATTTCAAATCAAACAAATCCTTTTCCCACCCTTTTCTTTTAATCATTTTCCTTCTGCTCTTTCTCTTCTGCTTGCTCAGTCCTGATTGGCCATTTGACTGCTCACACTTCAAAATAAGAAACAAAAAAACAAAAAAACAAAAAAAAAAAAGACAATGTACTATTTAACCCCACTTAATGTAGACCAGGAGTAGGCAACTCCAGGCCTCGAGTGCCGGTTCCTGTAGGTTTTAGATATCACCCCGGGTCAACACACCTGAATCAAATGAGTAGTTCATTACCAGCCCTCTGGAGAACTTCACGGGATGTTGAGAAGGTCATTTAGCAATTTGAATCAGCTGTGTTGGACCAAGGACACATTTAAAACCTGCAGGACACCGGCACTCGAGGCCTGGAGTTGTCTATCCTTGATGTAGACGATAAACTCATGAGGAGGTTTCTGATTGAACATGTAGTGCAGGCTGGAGGGCGGGTGCTTGTCATGGACCAATGGGAGAAGAGGACCTTACCGTCCCGTGACAGATGGTCAGGAAGCCGTTCTTCACCGAGCACTTTCTCTTCTGCCACACCTTCCTCAGTCTGACGAGGAGAGAGACAAATCTTTTAGTGTGAAAGGTCATAGAGTGGAGTCGTGACTGAGGCAGCTACCACTAACACACGTGTGCAGAAGGAGGAAAACATGTTAAATCTGTAAATATGTTACATTTAACATTGAGTCTGTGTAGACTGACTAAATGCTGCCTCTGCTGGACGTCACAGGAACTGCATGTGCATGTCAGTCACGTTCACGTGGCATTCTGAGTTCACTCACCCTTCACTTTTCTTGTAGAGGAAACCAGAGCGTTCGTTGCCGTGGGCTTTGTCACCCTGCAACTGATGGAGGCTGTAACCTGCGTTCTGTTTGGCCTGGGCGTCCTGTCAATAAATTAGACACTTTATGTGAAGCAGCTCTTATGACAGAAAGACGTGAGAACTATGACCCTACACAGAGTTCAGAGCTCAGAGCAGCCTATGTTTGATGGACAGCTTTGTTAATCAACTTCCTTTCCAGTAACAGGTGAGCCTCACCTGGTTATGCTCACCATCAGACTCATGATATCTGTTCAGACCATGTTTGTTCTAACTGCTGTGCGCATGTTAGCGACTCTTTACCCTCATTAAACGGCACAAGGTGTTTATCCTGCACTTTAACTGTGTTCATGTTTTCGGTCTGTGCCATCAGTCAAATGGATGTTACACCATGTTTGATGTTTTTTACCTCTTTCTGATCGGACTGCAGTGCCGCCTTCAGGGTGTCTCGGAGCTGAGCCAGCTGCTTCCTCTCGCCGTCCTGAGTCTGTTTGATCTGCAGAGGAAGAGAAACTCTATTGTTGTGTTCGCACAGAGCGATCGGTAAGTGAGCTGTGAGCTTTAATGCTCCTGCAGGGAACACAAGCGTCCTCACCGCTGTCAGGTCTGTGGACAGTTTCTCTACGGCTGGTTTCAGAGTCTCCACAGCTTTCAGTCCATCCTGGAAAAAACTGAAGAAAAAAAACATCTGAGAACCTCCAAGAAAAAAGTGAATCAATAACAAAATTAATGTTTTAATATTCTCACTTTATTATCTTTTCTTTAACACCTTACTCATACATGGACCTGTTGGTCACGTTTAGACTTACTTGCACTGAGCATGGTAAAACTTGATGAGGTTCTGGAGGAAGTCTACTCCTTTCTTCACTTTGATCTCGTTCACTTTGAGCAGGTACTGCAGAGAAAAGCCAAAGAATCAAGAAAAACTGAAGAAAATAACTGTTACTGCATGACCAGTCCTTCCTTGTCCTCCTCCAGCTCTTCTAGGAGGACACTGAGGCATTCCCAAACCGCTGAGAGATCATCTCTGCATTTCATGGGTCTGTCCGGGGTCTCCTCCTGGCCTTTAAACCTCATCTTGTTTAGGCATCCTGGTCAGAACCATCTCGGCTGGCTTTACTCTGAGCTGATACTCATTGGGTCTCTAACAGCGAGCCTGGACAGCCTTCAGAGGAAGCTCGTTTTCACTGCTTTTTTCTGTCACCTCTTTACCAGCATATCCACAGAACTCACCCTCCACTCCTTCTCTACTCATGACCAACAAAAAACCACAAGAAACACAGACTGAGCTGAAGATCAGCGCCTGATGAAGCCAAAAAAGCTACAAACCCTGAAAACCATCAAACCGGAAAACTTCTGAACAGAATCCGTCACAGACCTCTGTCCACCAAATCTTCCACGTCATATACAATCTTTGCTGATTGGTCGAGGCAGTAAAACAAACGCTGCTCTCGGTCTGACCTCAGAGGATAGAGATGATTGTTTTAGCATTCAGGTCACCTGTGTGACCTCTGACCTCACCTCGCACATCTGCAGCTGAAACATTCGTCTCTCCTTCTCCATCTCCTCTGCGATTTCTCCTCCTCTGAACTCCGTCCGAATCATGCCATGCATCTTGGCATTCTCTTTCTTCTCTTTCTCAATCTTCGCTCTGCAGAGGTCAAAGGTCATGTTAAAATCGCAACACAAACAAATGTGATCAAAACAACAAACTGAGGAGAAGAAAAAATAGAAAGATGCTAAACTACAGAAGCCAAGAAATGCCATGATTTCATGCCTTTCATGATTTTTATCTTTTCTTCTTTTTGTGAGAAAAAGGAAAAAAAACAGCATGTATCAGTCTGTGGAGACAGAAACAATAAAGATAACTTTATTCAAACATCCTCATTTACATGCTGAATGAGTCGGCTGGTTAACGTGTTCTCGTCTCTGTGATTTAACATTTCAGTGAGAGCAGCTGATAATGAGCCCTTCTTACAGTTTGGTCTCGTAATCCTTCCAGGCCTTATCGAACGGCTTCTTCAGATCCTGCAGGAAAAATAGACGTCACACAGTCAGTGATTCATTCATAAATGCTCGCGCACGCACACACACACACACACACACACTCACACACACACACACACACAGGACTCTAACCTCTGAGTCACTCTGGAAATATTTCTAGACGATAACATGTGCGTTAGATTAGAAAAACAAACACAATGGTGACCGTGTCACAACAGAGGTGTTTTAAATTCAGCCATTTGGTGTTTATGCCACGAGCCACAGCCTGCAGGACGACACCACCATTACAAACAGGAAGTCATGCTCATCGCACAACTACAAGAAAAACTGTTCAGTGTTTTGCAGAAATTAAATGTTGTATTTGGCACCTCAGGGCCACCTTACCTAACAGGCCTACATTTTATAATTCAAGAAGCACAGGTTTTTTTTAAATTATTCAAACTGAGCATAGAGCAGGAAAAATAATATTTAATAAATCAGAAAAAACAAAAAATGATCTTTTATTTTGATTTCCTGCTTTTGTTTTTTCATATGACAGGAAACGGAGGATTTTACAGTGGCTGGTTTACTGCTGTGGTACAAAGATATTTAAACATTAATGTGGGACCCCAGCGTGATTTTATTTGTTAAATCTGAAGCTGTGTGTTTAAAACGATTACAGTTCTGATGTAATTATTGTAAATACACAGTCAACATGTCATCTAACCAAAAATGATTCATTTTTAGCCACAGTAACAGGAAGTGAAGTGTAACTGAGCGAGTGTCTGCGGGTTTGTTTCAGCAGGAAGAAGAAAGTGACACCAACCCCTTTCACTCCTTTCAGGTCTCCTTTCAGCAGACTGTCCAGAGGGAATGTGATGATGTTGTTCATGTTCTGCAGCTGCAAACAGGAAGTTATGTCACAGCACAAATGCGCAAAACACACCACACTTTCTACATTTAATACTTTGCACAATAAAATGTCTGATGTTTCACTCTCTGAGGCTGAATTTGGTTCCTCACCAGGTTCTTGAAGAGCGCTGTCAGCTCTCTGGTGAAAACAACAAACTTGATGAAGGCAGAGCCGACATCACCGTCATCCCTGTCACCCCGGGTCAGGTAGTTTTCCCCAAACTTCTGCATGGACTGAACGTACTGCTCCTCATTTTCCACGTGAGCTACGACACAGAAAACACTTTAAATAAATGCGGACTGCAGCTTGGATCATCTTTCATTTAACTCCAAAAACAAAAATGATTAAACTCTGTGTGAAAACAAAAACCATCCACTCCACCATGTGGAAAAAACAAGGACAACGAACACGTGTAAATAAAAAAAAGTAATAAAATAAAAAGTAATAAAAAACAATAAATATAAGAGAAGACAAAGAGAATAAATAAAAATATGATACTAAATATTGAGAAAAACTGGAGATATATAAATAAACAGAAATAAAATACACAACTCAAATTAAAATAAACAAATCTAAACAATTAAAACATAAATATTTATTTTAAATATTTTAAACAAATAATAAATGTGAATGTATTAAAATATATTTAAATTTATTGAAATTATATTAAAATTAATTTTATATTGTAACAAAAGATTTTTCCAAAAACATTTCTAATTAATTTAATTTAGTCCCTTTTGATACGAAAAATTAAAAGTAGAAAAATAAAAGGAGAGAAACAAAATCTTAATTTTTTACAGTTTTTTGTATAATTATTCAGCTTTAAATAATTCTGATGATTTAAAAGTGTTTATTGGGCTTCAGTTGGACATGTCTGTGTGTACCTTCTGCATTACTTTAGCAGAGAAAATGGGCTGTTCCCCTCGAGCTGAGGCACCGAGCTGCTCTGAATCTTTGGTATATACGTGGAGATTTACCTCCAACATAAACCTGCAGGTTACAGAGAGAAGCTAAATATTTCAGATCCTCTCTGCTGTCCACATACTTCTGGTCATGCAGTGCCTTCTGTCTGTGAAACTGCTGAATGGTGCGTTTCCTGTCAGTTTTTGCAGAAGTGCTGAATAACGTTCAGATCTTGTGTGTTTGATGAGTGTGTGAAGGACTTGGCCTTTCCTCTGTTTGCACTGTAGTGTGGATGTGGGCGTATCCCTCAGCATGCCGGGACACGGGGAAGCATGAAAGGAATGTTTGGAGGTGAGACTCCACCGGCCCGAGCAGAGACCCACCAGCAGCACGCGGCTGCTGACGAACCCACCCCACCTGCACTGACCTGAATAGAAACTGCTTTTATTTTGGTAGTTTGTATCTGAGCACAGTGTGCTACCACAAACAGGAAGTGACAGTCAAAGTGAGACTGTGGTGACAAGCGTTGTTATTTTGGGTCAGACTGACTTGAAACTGCATCTCTCACCCAGACCAGACGAGTTGATGGCCTTCACTGACTTCTTGATCTTGTAGAGAACAGACCGGTCCAAGTCGAGAGCCTGCGAAGGAGAAACAGCACGCAGATTAGGAGCCATGCCTGTAATGCTTACACGTCAAAGTTAAAGGAAAAGTGTGTTTATAGTCAGTATGAACTGTTCACCTCTGTTGGTGTTCATCTCAGACTGTCACCCTTCATACCCTGAGCTGACGTGCGTGGACGGACTGCAGAGTCTGTATGTTTTACCCGAAGCAGAGTTATTATCAAGACATCACACATCTAATAAGAGACTGATGAAAGCAGTGCTGCTATTAAAGGTGCTTTTTTTTTTTTTAGCAGACACCTCTCACTCACAGAGACTGTTTCATTCAGACCTTTGAAGCAGATCTTTTTATTCTTGCAGTTCAACATAATCCGAAGAAGCCTGCTGAGGGACAGCGCCCAGTGGCCATAGCTACTTCAGTCTGACCTTCTCAAGGCTTCAGAATGCTGGCAGCATTTCATAAAGTTTAGTCAGTTCTTTTTTGGGTTTTACTGTTGCATCAACGTTTGCCTCCCCCAAACATGAGCCTGGTTCTGTTAAAAGAAAGTTCTTCCTCCCCCCTGTCACCAAGTGCTTCCTCACAGGGGGTATTATTGTAGTATTATATTTATTATTTTAGAGTCTTTATCTTACAAAGCACTTTGAGATGTGAAATGTTCTATATTAATAAATCTGTAATGAACTGAATCTTATGTTCTGAAAATGATCAGATTCTCTGTGCTGTTCCTGTTTCCTGTGTCCCTCCTCATCTGCGCGGTACAGTTTGATGCATTAGTCCCTAAAATAAGAGCGCTGCGTCTGTGATCTGCAGAAGGACATCAGATGGACATCAGACATCAGATGGAATCATCAGTATTGTATTGATTGGCACGATCAGCTCTGGCGAACACACAGAACCTGACGTAGCCACACCCACTGTATTCACAGGAATCTGGTTAGGGCTTCAGAAGGAATTCTTTCACCTGTTTGACATACCCAAAGGGAGCTCATATTCTGTAAAGCCGGCGTGCCTGCAGGAGAGCTGATCTGAAAGCTAATGTCTTCTAGTTCCTGAAACTCTCCTCGTTAGCCTGAGGCTAAAACGCAGCCTAAATTAAACCTTTGAGTGGTAACACGGGCTGCAGCGCTAGTTTCATGTTAGTCAGGAACATGAAGTCTGCTTGTGTCTAACCCGAGGCTGTGGGAGGGAGACTGAAGAGGCCATGCAATCTAAGCCTTTACCATAGTTTGCATGGCTGATGAGACCACAGAGGTTCTGTCACATGACCTTCAGGTGTTTTCCTGCCGACCTCATCTGTGGGGTTCACCTAAGCGTCTACAGCTCTGAGTCACAGGTCCATGTCTCAGAGCGAGAAACATGCACTTGGTTATTCTTTGACCAAAAACTGGTTCAAGACGAGCCGCTCATCAAACACCGGAGCTGATTTCAAATCTCTGCACAGAAACACAGCGAGATGACAGGTGAGCTCAGGTGTAGAGCAGCGACTTCATTCAACTCAGCCAAAGACCAAACAACAGATCGAGCACAAATACAAAGAACTCAGAAACAGCTCAACTCAGTACGGTGGATGATTGATGGTCTCACAGCACTGAGGTCCTGGCAGGGCCTTCTAGATAAATATTCATGGTCTTCTTGTGAGAGGTTTGTGAGAGTTTACCTGCAAATTCACCAAAGCACTCACTGAAAAAGAGCTACAGGACGGGTTAAACTCAGAAAATACCGCTCCTACAGGATGAATGATGCAATAATCTCAATGAAACGACTGCAAACACACAAACAACACACAGGCCATGTCTCTGAGGACAGCGTTGAAATCTTGGTACAAACGCCCACAGGCTCATGTCACAGCAGCCCACCCGCGAGCTTTCATTATGTCCCTAATAAGGGTGTTGCAAGGGTGTAAAGAGGTCATAAAGGTTAAATATAGTAACTTAGTGTATGATTGTACACCACATAGATCATTGACCTGGTCAGCAAAGATAAAGAGGGATCACTTCCTCTGCTGATACGTCAGTCAAACTGTCTGATCAAAGTTTACCAGCAGCCCCTTCACACTGTTTCAGGCTGACGTCAGAGGATTCATATTTAATGATAATTAATGGTAATTACCCCTGTTACCTTACTGAATTCATTTTCAGCACAAAGCTCTGGTTTTACCCTGTGTTATAAATCAAGGACATCATTTCCCCCCCATATCTACGTCACACTCATGGTCAGCTTAGAATCACCAGCGATCCCAACATGCAGCTCTTTGGACTTTGGAAGGAAGCTGGAAAGAATCCACACAGGAACACGGAGAACATGCACGCTCGAGCTGGGACTTGAAACATGAACCTTCCTACTATGAGGTTGCAGGCAATCATCTAGGAGGATGTTAATGGATGAAGATGCCCAATTGACTAATCACAACTAACTGACTGGTAGTTGGCCTTCATCACTCTCAGCATGCATGCAGGTGTCTGAAGGCAGGTGAGGTTATTGGTGCCCTGACTTCTTTTCGCCCCACCTCCACCTGCAGACATCCTGACTTGGAGGCTGCAGGCGAGCAGGGGCGCTGCTTTGTCTTGTGAGGTCAGAAACGTCCACCAACGTGTGTCTAAAACTGTCTGCAGGACATCACATGTCCCCACCACCCTCACGGTTTTTACACTGAAGTTCAAAGAAACAGCCTGTAAAACTGTTAATGTAATGACTGTAAAATCATTGAGATTACAGTTATTGACTAAAAGTAATCATCATCATGAATTTTCCTGTAACCGAGTGGCGACAATGTGGAGCCGCTAAAGCTCACTGTAGTGGTGATATTTATTCAAACACAGGTCTCAAGCCTACAGGATGAGGCACGAGCCAAAGTGTGGATTTGGAGAGTGGCAATCATCAAAACAGAACATTTCACAGCAGTTTTCTGACAATAGAAGCAACCAAGACGCTTCCTGTTTTTAGGGTTTCCTCGGTTTCACAGCCTCTGCACACCAGCTCTGCTCAGCTGCTTTTAACACGTGCAACAACACTCATTTTACATTAGTGAACGTAGGTGAGCAGATCAGTGTGACGAGTGGAAGATGAAGCAGATAAAGAAACCTGAATGGGCACAACACTGATCAGACCAGCAGGGACTCTGTAAAGGACTCATCTGCTGTTTTTACCATTCAGCACACTGATGCTGATTTCATGTGTTTACTGTAATTATTCTACCGTCTGAAGATGAGGGAGGAGCTGATGATTTATTGGAGACTTTAATTCCTCTCACATCACTTCAGACAAGTTGAGACACAACAGAAACAGAGATGAGCTTCAAACATGAAGAGAGGAGCTTTAAAAGTGACCAAAGGAGAGAGAAAGAGGACGAGACAAAGAAAGATGACAAAGGAAAGAGGAGAGAATGGAGGGATTTAACTGAGAGGAAAGCAAAGATCGGAGACAGCAGGAGGACCAAGGTGAGGCGAATCATGTCGGGACTCGATCAGAGGAGTGAGGCTCTACCATCGCCTCGGGTCTACTGAGTGGGAAAATCCCAGCATGCAACAGGAGGAGGAGGACATGATGTGCAGACCTGCGATTTCTACAGACCTCACGTCAGGCTTTCAGTTGTGCTTTTAAAGCATTCGCTGCAAGGACGTAGATTTCTTCACTTTATGCTGAGAGGAACCAGCGTGCTCTGAGCTGTAATCCAACAGCTCCCCAACAACAACAGATGGCCTCTACAACGATTGGGAAAAATATTTACTGTCCTTAGAACCAATAAAGTCTCAGAAGGAATCTGAAAAACTAGATACCATTAAAAAAAAGAGGAACCCAAACAAAAGTCCCCACAAAAACACACAAAGAGAAATAAGAGATTGTTTAATCCATCCCTGAATCACGTGATCACCTCCCAAAAAACATCCAGGTTGTCTCTTCTTTTCAGAGCATTTGACTCTTTATGCTAAGAATTAATAAATAACCTCTCTGATACACTGTTCTATTTATCCATCAACAAGGAAACCTGTGAAAAAAATATTTAATGCCTTCATTATTGACAGGAAGCCATGAATAACCAATGGACTACTGTCCTGAAAGACTTGCTGGCAACTATAACGTGATATCAAAGACTCAAAGAGAGAAAAAAACTAAAACATGACCACAAAAGAGCATATATATGTATTAAAACAACAACAACAACGACCTCACTGAACAACGTCCCATTAACAGTCTCAGGCCAGTATGCACGAAGTGTGATCACTAACGCCTAAGCTTTTACTGATCTGAGGTCAGCTTTCAATGACACGGCCAGATTTGTGAAACAATTAAATGAGCACAAATACGACCTAAGCGTGTGTTTTCTTATGCTTGGCCAAGATGTTTGATGTAGAGGAGTTTAAAGACACATCTCTATCTCCTTTAGTAAGCAAACATATATCAGTGTTTGTCAATCACCTCCATTAATCGGCTATGTACCACAGGCCTTCAAGCTGGCAGTAGTTAAACCTTTACTAAAAAGGCCATCTCTAGACCTAGCGGTCTTAGCTAATTATAGGCGAATCGCTAACCTTGCTTTCATATCAAA